GTGGAGGTTGATTGTGGTGGATGGAGAGGCGTTAAGATTCGGCAGCAAGGGAAGAGCACCTTGATTTGCGATGATGTGACAGCGACTTCTATGTCCGCAAAGTAGTCGGTATTGTTTATAGCGTCTTGCTGCTAAATAAACTGGGAAGCACCTGGGATGAGATGCATCGAAATTCGCCTACACAGTAATTTAAAATTATGGCGCCCCAATACTTGTCAGGAGACTGAGTAATACTTTCAGCAGGAAATTTATTGAAATTAATAAAAGGGATAAATAAATGCCATACCTCACATTTGGGGTATTGAAGTGGGATCGTTGCGTATCCCATGGTCAAATGCATGTGTACATTAAATATTCTGGATAAATTTATCTTCATCTTTACGTTGTACGCTTTGTAGCACAAAGTGACTGATCGTCTCTCATTTCATTGTCTCCAAAGATGACTTCTAATTTGAAGATCTTCATAATAGGGTGAACGGCTATCCAGCTGTAGTAGTCTGTATTGTATTTCTCAAACATAGGCTAGATACATTTGAGGCGATTAAATCAGTGAGAGGTAAAGTAAAACACCAATTCTTTGTTGGCAAATTTTATGCATAAGAAAAATGCCGAGCGTAAGCATTATACAATTACATCAAGCCTTACCAACAGCTCGGTGGGATATGTAGATCTTGGAGCTAAAAATTCTTTGGCTTTTTGCACCAGTGTGGCATAAATAAAAGCAACTGATGGAAGATCGCTTTCCTCTGAATAGCCAGTAACCACCTTTAAGTCATCGGGCAGAGGAGGAAGAGCGCTAAACTCGTGAAAATTTTCCTCACATGGGTTCAAACGCCCTCCTTGCAAAATATGACCATTGACTCGGAGGATGAGACGGATGAGATAAATAGCGGCCAAACAACGGAGGAATGCTGGAAACTGCGTGAGCTTATACTCCACCAGACCCATATCAAGAATATAGGCACATGCCGACTTCACCTAACAGCAAAATTCTTGCTATCAAGCAAATAAAATATTTTAATTCAGAAATTCAAAATGCAGCGATTGAATAGATCGGAAATTACTAGTCGGGTGCAGTAGGGTGGAATGTCATTGCCAATGTCCAAGAAGATCTCGAGATAAGTGTACGGAGTTGGACAATAAACTCCAAAATCAAGAACATTCAACAGGTTCTCCTCCATGCATATTAGCTAAAATATAACCACAATGCTGAGGTCTGTACCAATAGAGGCGTGAATAGGATGGACTGAAGGCCTAAAACCACACCTGCTCTTTGCTGAAGCTATATCTGGCCATCTTGCACATGTACTCAGGCTTTATCCATATCTTTGCTGTCGACGTCTTAATAGCCACCCACAGAGCCGCATCAGCAAGCAATTGACACTCACCAGACCCTGTAACTGTCCGCCATATGTAGCGATCCACATAGGTTGTCGCGAGATGCAAGACTTCATTTGGAATGCCCATGTACAGTTGGACCTTAAAGAATAAAATAAGTGGGTACACAAAACTGTCTTCCAGGTTTAGAATAAAAGCTATGGAGACTTATTTCAACATACCTTAAGCATCCAACCGAACATGTGTGCACGAAACGCTGCATCAATGCCACTTCTGTTAAGGGAATCAGGTTTATAGTCCTTTAGAATTCGAAGATCTTTTAGTCGTTCAGTAAAATAATACTACAAAGCAAAAAAAGGAAACCGCCTTTAGAGTCATGCCTGTTTAAGGGAAGGGACATTTAAGAAGTGATTAACAGCTGAACGTACCTTTATTTGAGGAGGAAGAGGTTGGTTTTGATCTAAGGAAAGCCCATTTTTCGTAACTGATTGGCAGCAGCTACAGAGTTCTGTCCGAAGTTATGCACAAAGATTACAAGCAATACTAGAGCTTAGTATTACAGAACTATTTGAGTCACACATCAACTACATCACGGACGGATAGATAAGAAACTTTACTTTGTTTTTGCGGGTACTGTTGTTGAATTGAACCTAAAACAAAAACAAAATTAATTAAATTTGAAGACTTACAGATCAAAAAAACCAATTGATCACATGGGATAATGGAGGGAATCACATATTCAGAAAGGTATTTTCTAAATTACTCACAATGACGTGACGAAGCCAACGGCATTCTGTGTTGAGAAATTCAGAAGTTACTCTGCGACTACGAAATTCATATGATTCAACTAAAATAAAGAAGATAATTGCAGTGGAATGTTCTACGGCACTTACCAATTGATTTAGGCGATTCTGTGTGTCTAATGTATCTATGAGGAATCGCTTTTATCCACTCAACTAGGCCTTATTTCATTCGGTAAAATAAACGTCTAATTGAAGGCATGTAGACTCATCGCTAGTCTTCTAGTAAGTAATTAATTAGTCAATAAATCGATAGGGCATTGGATAAGGGATGACTAATTAAGGATGACTTAATCAGCTGGTAAAAGTGCTAAAAAGCATCTTCCTGTATGAAGATTTCTGGTAAGGTTGAGTTCATACAAATTGCCTTTAATGCGCCATTAAGTGAGAGTGGGAAAAATGATTATTCGAGATTAGTGGCTGGAAAAATTGTCAAAGTAATCTCATTGGTCAACATTCCAACAATCAAAGTATATAGCGGAACAATACGCTACAGCCCGAAGAAACAGCCATCAAAGAATGTTCATTCACTTCTCACATGTGGTTTAAATGAATTGCAATGTTGGCAAGGCATTCAACTGCTAACGCATGTTGACCTCATTGAGGAAGAGAAAAAAATGCAAACAATTTGATGGCTAAGGCACAAATTTCGAGAAAGCTAAATAATTACAGTTAGAGAAAGGCCCTACTTTGCGGACATAGAAGTCGCTGTCACATCATCGCAAATAAAGGTGCTCTTCCCTTGCTGCCGAATCTTAACGCCTCTCCATCCACCACAATCAACCTCCAC